AAGAAACGCAACATAATAAGCAAGGGAAACACAAAATAATGGGCTTAAGAAAGGCAACATAACAAGCAAGGGGAACACAAAATAATGGGCATAAGAAAGGCAACATAATAAGCAAGGGGAACACAACATGATAGACATAAGAAAGGCAACATGATAAGCAAGGGGAACACAACATGATGGTCATAAGAAACGCAACATAATAAGCAAGGGGAACACAACATGATGGGCATAAGAAAAGCAACATAATAAGCAAGGGGAACACAACATGATAGGCATAAGAAAGGTAACATAATAAGCAAGGAAAACTCAACATGATGGGCATAAGAAAAGCAACATAATAAGCAAGGGGAACACAACATGATGGGCATGATGGCCATCATTTGTGAACAAACCCAGTAAAATGAAAGAAAATATCCAAAAAAAAAACTTTTTGCGCTTCTTTCGCACCCAGAAACAATAACTAGAGAGAAAAAGAATAAAAAAATATTGAAAATGTTTTGACTGCTAAAGTTTTTTTGGAAGCGCGAGGAAATTTTTGTTGAAAGCACCTAAATAAATTCCCACAATGCACGCTACTTATGAGCAACACCAAGGAAAACAACAAATGCTTTTCTTTCAGTTCGGAGCTTTTAGCAACAGAAAAAATTTCACTTCCCATTGTGAGACATTGAATAAAATAAAACAGCAATGAGAAAATGTCAAAAGTCATTCCTTCTGAAAAAAAGCATGTGAATTTTCATAGCTGGCTTTTTTCTACGTACTTTTCGAGGAGGCATTGTTTGTGAATATCATCCCTCTGCTCGTGGATCCAATTTCATTCATATCTGAGAAAAAAAATGTATTTTCGTGCTTTTTTGATGACGCAATTACTTGAGATTCTTCTAACGTTCCTAATGATAGAATGAATTGTGAGATTCTTTAGACACAAATGCCTTGAGACTTTATTTAGAAAATTTCAAAGCACTAGATAAAAATATCTTTTTGCTTGCATACCTGATGAGGATTTTAGCTTGCTTGTGTCACTGAAAATCATCAAATCTAAGATGACTAGGCTAGATCAGTGATAACACAGCATAAGTCAAGCAATTTAGCAGTTTTTACCGCTCGGGAATATTCGCAATCAGAATGAAAAAGAATCAAATGTAAAGCACAATAATCGACAAGCAGTGAGTAGATTGACGTTGCTGCCAGCGATCAGTGTGCTATTCCATTACGGCATCATGCTATGACTAAGTAAAAATATGGAAATTGTTACATTTTTGAGTAAAAATTTCGTTATTATTTAGCATTCTCATGTCACATTCCTTCCATTGCATTATGACGAAAAAAAAAAATATTTGACGACACAAACAACCAAGTGGAATCACAGCAGCAGCATCATCACCATGATGGGATTTCAAATTGATTTTTGATGGCACTTGGCGTTTTCCTAATGAGATATTTTCCTTTTAAAATAAAGAATAAAGACGCAAGAAGATGGAAGAGAAAATGATGAAGAATTATGGAATATTATAAACACTCGCTTTTTGGGTTCCTTGCTCCATATTTTTCTTTTTCCTTTTCGTATTTATTTTCTTGAAAACGATTGTGCTTGTAGAAAATGTTTGAGTCCCGAATAAATAAATGTGCATAAATAAGAATGCGAAAATGGTGACTTAATGGCATCATTTGCCTTTTTTTGGTGAGTTAGAAGATGTTTTATGATAAAAAGCGGTGTGTCCTACATTTGTGTTGCGGATGCTTGAATTTTATGATTTTCAAGGAAGCTTTTTAAGGAAATTTTGGTAACAAGAGCTTTTTCTGCTTAATAAGTTTCGTTGAATGTTCTTAACAGCCATCAGAAAGTCTTCGTTAAGAGCAAAGCTGGTGCTATTGCCAATATTGTCCAAAAAGTTCAATCCACAGAATTAAATGATCAAGCAGGTCATAAATCATTGACAATTGATCTAATTTTTACACAGGAATGTCTTTAATACCTTTAAATTGCCTTCAATCCACGTCTGAATCTATTTTGACTTTTTCTTGATGTCTCTCTTTTATCAGCCTTCAAGCACAACTTCAACAATTTTTTAAACAAAAAAATCTCATTTATCTGCAAAATTCGCCATTTTGCAATATTGTTCAACCTGAATACTTTAAGCCATAAATGACAATCATTCGTTGTTAAGATACGAGCGCGATTTGATTCATACCTGAATGAAAGAATTTTTTTTTCACTTCTTCCATTTTCCAATTTTCTTTTCACATCACTTGAAAATGTTTTGAATACGAAAAGATTTTACTGGGATTATAGAACGATGTTGCAAAGGAGATAAAAAAATTTAAATGTTAAAGTTCAGATCGAAAAATTTTCTTTCTATTTAAGAATCTTTAGTGAGGGATGACAATTTCTAAAGAGTCAAGATGTGAAGGTAATTCGCAGGGGGAAAACTACTTGGTGGAAAAAAAATTTTGATGGAAAATTTTCCATCATATTTCATCAATTTTCCATCAAGTGTTTTCCCCCCTTGAAATTCGTTGAATACTGCAAAATAATACTCCAATTCTACTTAGTCTTATTGAGTGGATGATGCTTAAGGTTTGGAATGAGAGGTTGCATTTTAGGTTCTGCCTGGGATATAACCTATAAATTGCATTTCTCGTCGAACATTATGTGCCCACATCATGTAGAAATGCGTGGATCATGCTACGGACATTTCAGTATCGAATTTTTTCGACATGTTTAAAATTAGTCGACCTAGAGTTTGAATATTTTTAAACCGTTAAAAATTTGACAATTTTATGATTTTAACTACATAGCTGAACACGAAGCTAAGAATAAGAATCGTTTATCCAAGCTTTGTGGTGCCAGTGTCTTCAAGAAAAAAAATTCATCAACATTTAACGGTTTTTTGAAATTCAAAGTAAAAAATAACGGATTTTTCGACGTGTCTGGAGCATGGTACAAACTTATCCTCCCAGCAACTTTAAAATTCAGTTTTAAAATTAAATGAACTATTCTAAAAAAAAAATCTTTGTTGAATTCAATCCCTCATCGTCATGCTCTTGTGCATCAATTCTTAAGATTAATAATAAATACAGTTGCTTACTCTCCCACATGCTGCTGAGATTTCATTCATTTTTAGTTCTTTTCATGAAAGCTCTTCACATAAATCCTGAATGAATTTAATTTCGTTTTTTTTTATTTTGAAAAAACTTTGTAGAGCAACGCATGACTGCAAAAAGCTCTTTTTGTTAAAATTTATCAAGTTTGTCAATTCAATGTAGAGTTTAAAAAATGAATGATGTCATTAAACATGATTTCATTGGCTCAAGAATTGTTCATTCTGGATTTATAACTTCACCGAGAATAAAATAATTTTTATGAAACAGTAAAAAAATTGCGATGCTTTTAGAATGATGAAGAGAAATTGTTATGGAGAGTTAAACTTAATGGTTGGCGATGTTGTGGTTTGTCTAACAATCATAATCAGATTGAATATTTTCAATAGTCTTCAGTCATAATGGTTAAATTGAAAATAAAGTAAATCAAAGTTTTCATTTTTATTATTTATTATATATAAGCAGTTAAGTGCCTTGCTGGTCGAATAGGTAAGGCGCTTGGCTCAAATTTGGTATGGTAACTCGAAGGTCGTCGGTTCGAATCCAGCCATTTCCAAATTTGTTCTTTTTCAGAAGTTTAGATACTTCGACTGCTTAATGTACGAGTCAAGCCATAATTGGGCATTTTGGGCAACGTTGGATTAAGGAACGGATCAGGAACTTGAAGTGTAGCGGGAGAAAAAGGAACGGAAGCTACAAGATTACCTTATAATGGAATATTGTCAGAACGGACCTGAAATGTATCACGTCACGCCCACAGAAGATTGAAACGAGAGCCTGAATTTAATTGAAACCTAGATTTGAAGATTAGAAGCTTGTTTCTACGTCACCTATAGTGATATGAAATGTATGAGTAATCAATGTAAAAGGTAAAACATGTATAAATACTAATTCTTCCGGACGGTAACGTCGACAAATAAATAATAATAATAATAAAATTTTTTTCCATATTTCTTTAAATCCGGGATTTGAACCCTTAAAATATTTTAGATAATCAACTTCTTTATTTTTAAGCACTTGATCAAATAAATTTTAAAATTCCTTAATCAACGAATCGACAATTGTGTAATTTGAACCACACAAAACCAAATAAAACACTTATCAAGCACATTATCTAATAACATCAGCCAATTGGAATCATCTTAAACAATTCAGTTATTTGTCTCATTCCTTACATCCTATTAATTTCCACGAATCAGATTTTAGTTCATTTCTTATTACTCAAATAGATCAAGCATTAGCAGGAGTCTCGTGCAAGCAATTTCTTATGCTCTCAATGAAAAAGATGAGACAACAAATTAGAATAAATAACTTAATTAACTTTATTTAACATTCAGTGGAATTATTAAGTAAATAAAGCGGAAGCTTTTACGCATTTTATGTGCCATTGTGGATTTTTCACAATTTAAATTCCACAAACTCGCTGATTATCTTTTTTTGAGCACATAAACTAATGTGAAAATTCAAGAACTAAGTTTTGAAGAAGAGTAAAATTTGGAGCAGAGCTTTTTTGCTTTGTAATGAATTTTGCTTTTCTAGCTTTAATGGTTCATTTTTATTTATTTTCCCTCCTTTTTTAATGCCATCGTCATGGAGTGTTGACCGAGGATGTTTTTGATATAAAATTTACAAAGAACGGATTTTCCCCGAGCAGCAACAGACAACATTTTATTCTACCAAATTTAATAAAATAAAATACTTTAAAAAATACCATCCTCGGCACCAATCCCATCTTTTATTATAATGCATCATGATTTATGCATTGCCATTTTATTGTCATTAGCATAGGCATTAGAATCCTATTTTTCCTTTAACCATCACAACAGAATGTTCTCATTTTTTATTGTCTCGAATGTAAAAAAAAAGAATGGAAATAAAATTTTCTATTATCTGCTTACCTAATAAATGGGCTCTAAACATTATCACATCACGCAATGAAACTTCCTCATTTCGGTAGAGGATTTGAAAGACTTTTGAAGCACCAGCACCGTTAATAATACATGGACCAGTTGGTGTTGTGTTGGCATTCTGTTCGGGTATGCAGGTCTCGAGTTGAATAGGCAACTTTCCAGGCGACACTTTAAGTGAACATCTAACTTGATATAACCTGAAAATATAAAGAATTGGAATATTTTTGTTAGTGCATGTACATGTAAATCTAATAAATTAACACAATGACGTTGTTATCGTAAATTTTCATCCTTAATATGTCAAACTCTTCTCTAAACAATCTCAAATCTGTTATTATCATCATCATCACATTTTCAAGAGTTTGTGTATGTGTGTGCATGAGGATTCATAATATGTGAAGACGCAAACATACAATAAAATGCAAGCGACAAAAGGATTAGAGCTCCTTGGTTGCTCATGTATAACTCAAGACGAGAACTTTATTATTCTCATCTCGACACCAAAAATGAGATTTTTCTGTTAAGATTTTTTTTAAAAAAAATAAAAGTACATGGAAAAAGTATTTTGAGTAATTTTCTGTCATGAATATTTCAATCAGCTTTGAAGCATGGAAAAAAAGTTCTGATAGAACAAAGTAAAAAGTTTTGAGCGTCACATAATCGATTAAGTCTCTTAAAAATAAATCGTAAAAACTGTTGAACAAAGCGCAGTTTATAAGAATTTTAACGGCTTTTTGAAATTTGAATCAAATTTTTGAATTTGAAATATCCGTTAAATAACAATCTACAAAATTTTCACCCAAAGCAAGTCACTCAATTCACAAAATCATTTGCTACAACATAACGAATAGCTTGAAGCTTTTCACAGACGAAGAAAATTGAAAAAGCTCAAATATCTCGTCAAACTCATATCACATTAGCATCTTCATATTCCATACTTAAATACATAAAAATAAAGAAATTCTTCTTACATTTTTTTTATCGCATTTTCCTCATCTCAAAGACTTTTTTCCATATTATATATCTTCATACGTAATTCTTACATTCTCACACATGTATAATTTATTAAAGCCTTTTTTCTTTCTTGTTTAAACAGTATTTGTTTTATGGAGGTTGTGTTATTATGTGTGCTTTTGGTTCTCTCTGTGAATGAAAGATATGCTCTTTGGATGTAACAAACTTTCTCTACGCTTTTTTGTCATCAAATGAAGAAAGGGAAATTTTGAGCGCGATTAAATGAAAATGAAATAATTTTTGGAACTCTTTGACATTGTTTTGGCTACGCACCTGCTTGCCATGCCATTATTAATTCTACTTTTTGATTCAATAAATTCAACACTTGAATCAGTTTGACTTCATCAGCTGATTATCTTAAGTCTGATTAGAGATTAAAAAGGTTTAAGCAAATTCACATTTATTTTAAAAAAGTTTTTTCGCTAAAAATGTCCTCAAATCTTCCCAAACCGACAAATGTAGACTTGCTTTCCATTTTCTTACATCCAAACACATCCAAATATTTGCGACGATATACGTTTTTAGTAAAAGAAATCATTTTTTTCCAGCTCCAACTTTCTCAGGGCTTATTTTATATTGAACTCTTCTTCAAGCTTGTGTCTCGGAAATGTTATTTGATAAAATATCTTTATGTCATGAAAATGTATATACATCATGAAGTAACACGTGTGAATGTGTGCATGAACGATCTCAATACACACCTTCGGTATTAACCATTTTATGAGAGCTCGAATCTAAATGGAAATAATTATTACGCAATTTTCAATTTTTTAATGCTGGATTAAGGAATTACTGAGATAAGTCAGGGGTTTGATAGGATCTGGAATCCTGAGAATTCATACTCACAACAAATTTATTTCATTTTACGAAAGTTTCATTTAATAAGGTTGATTTAAAGATTTGAAAAATTCGTACATTCCCTAGGAATCGAAATCTTCTCCCTTGAAGACAAAAATCATGCTTCCTGAAATTTTTTATCATTGCTGTCATAACGTTCATTTGTTATTTGAATTGTATTTATTTGTAAGTTACCCAATTAATACAACTTAATTTTAATCATCAACATCATCATATGATCGTCATATGATGATAAGATGTCGTCACGACATCGTCTCGATTCGATTTATGACCTCATATGATGGTCATTTGACGAAAAATTCGTCACTCGACGATCAAATGAAAACGTCAATTGATGGTCATATGACGATCAAATGACAAAATGGCGATGGCGAGACGACGAGCATAAACCGTGATATATACTGAATATCGTATATATGCTGAATTTTGACTGAAATAATTTTTTTAAAATTTAACGAAAAACTTGTTAATTTGTGTAGAATAACACTATATAATATTTATTTTAAATTATACATGATTTTATATATGATTTTCCTTGTCGTTAAATCGGTTTTGATTAGTCAACTTCAATAACTTAGCTTGATTTTCTCTTCGTCGATGTAAATAAATTTTGACGGCAGTTGAAGCATCTGCCGCTGAGCTAAGTTTCACACGTAAGTTTTACGGAAATAGTTCTAAGAAAATGGATGAAATTAATTCATTTAATAAATTAATTTGCAGCAATTGCTTCTAAAACTTACCATTTCTTAAATATTTATACACTTTGATTATTCTTAAAAATTTTACAACGGATTGAAATAATTTTCCTTCCTTCACTTCAACTTCTCGAACACAAATGAATAAAACAAAATTTTTACCCAAACTAGTGTATCGGGTAGAAACCCAATGCGGATTATATTCACACCGTACTATCAAAGTCTTATGGATAGACCAAGATTTGCCCATCATAAGTATGAATGTATGAAGCTGGATAAGTCAACTTCGCTCAGCATAAGTTTGAAGTTATAAAGCTATCGAGTCAGCTGAGCTTCGCTTAGTATAAGTTTGAAGGTATAAAGCTTGACGAATATCCCAAACATTCGTATACTATATATTATAAAAATCACAGTGAACTTTTGCTTTGAAAAATTCATAAGAAAGGAAAGTTTTTTGCTTTTTCTGAAGCAACGGCTGTTCCTACCTTGCCTAAAAACAATACAGCTCTTGTATAGAGCAGCACGGATCAAATGTAAAAAACTAGAAGTCTTTACGATGTCTCGTTATTGAGATTTCTTGCTTGTTTGCTTGTTTGCTTGCTTACAGAAAGCGTATTTTGCGATTTTCTCAGCAATGCCACAACCAATTTGAAATCTGTTTTTTGAAAGTGATGTGAAATTCCAGGCACAAACTGTTTATGCCTGAACATTTTAAGCTATCTTGCTCCATATCCTCACAAAATTCTAAAAACTTATTTTTCAATCTGAACAAAACCAATAGATTCACACGTGAAAACGGTGTGAATTTAAAAAAATGGTAACTTTGATTACCATTGATAATTTTATGTCAAGTTTTGCAATCATTTTGAAGATCATTTTGATGATAAGCATATCTATTTTTACATTCAAAATTCGTTAGTAATCTGTGAGCATACATTGAATGAAAGCTCATTTACAAAATCTCAAGAAAATAGTTCAAAAAAAATTTTATTCAATCTTCGAAATACCATTCAGAAAATAATTATCAATTTTTACAGTGCAAAAACAGTTCAAAGAAAAAAGTTTAAGCAAAACATACAATCGAAATTTGCAGAAAATCAAAAATTATCGTCATTCATGACTTTCATTTGATCGTCATATGATCGTCATAATATTTTAGAAAAAAAAAATCATCGTACAATCATCATCGTCATGACGAAGACGCTCATATGACGATCATTTGATCGTCATCGTCAAATTGTGCCGCTCGGGAAATAATGTCGTTTCATACATTCAATCCCAATATTTAAAGTAGAAACTAAATGAATAGCGAAAACTAAGTTACAAATACCGAATTTGTGCTGTCTTACTCCAGCAATTGCCTACAGTAAGCACAAATTTCTCATTTCATATAAAATATTATTTTTGTAACTTTATCTCACTCATGCTATTTCCATTCTTATTGAAATCCCTAGCTTAAATAATTTAAAATGTAATTCCTGGTATTAAATCATAAAACATCCAATTAAAACTTTTTAATTGATTAAAACATAAATTCCATTTCATCAGCTTGCGAGGGAGATAATGAAAAAGTTCATCATATTTGTCAGCCTCAAATGATAAACACAGCACTGTATTTATCTTTAAATGCTATTGTAATGACATTCAATAAAAAATGAAAATGAAAATTTTATATGCTTGAATTTATAAAAATGATCTTGTGTCTTGTGTCTTCTATATTTACGAATATTTAACCTACTTTTGAGATGTGAGCAGATGAAAATTTGTTTCTCTTTTTTTTCAGCGAATAAATCATTTCGACAATGATTTGTATGAAGGAATGTAACATATATTCATCAAGAACAACAAACAACAGATAGTAAAATGTTACTTCCATTGACTGAGGCTGTAAAACGCTGTTTGATAAAACTTTAGGTTAGTGCTATGCAAAAATGTTTTCAAAGCTAGTTAAATTGATCGAAGAAAGCTTTTTGAACTTAGTTGTAACAAATTTCAAATATTCTGAGTTTTTCTCAAAGTGCACATCAAAATTATCGTTTAATTGTGTCTCCTATTAACAAAACAGCTTTTACATGACATCAGTTACAACAAATTCCACAAGAAACACTCCAAAAATAGTCAACAACAACAAAACAAGGCAAAAAACTTCTCAAAGTGCTTTTCGCGAAAAATTCAAGAAGAAATATTTTGAAACAGAATCAATCATCAAGAAAGGAACGACAGAAGAAGCTTTGAGCATAACTTTTTGAAACTAATTTTGTATTTCATGAAAGAAACGAAAATTTTCTACTTCAAGAATTTCCTACTGAAAGAATTTTAACAACCAAGACTCATATTTTACATATTTTAAACAACATAAGCTTTAAAGTAAGAAGCATAAATTTTGTGTGTGATGAGATTCATGACAGAAATGTAATTTGTTAAGGTAAGTCATGAAATGTATTTTTTTTATGTTTTTAACACATCCGGGGCAAGTTTAAATTTCTTTTGACGCTGTTTTATGTTCATGCATGTCTTTCATTACTCTAATTGAAGGCATTTCATTCAAAAACTCTTTCATATTATGCACATTGCATTCTCATTAACATTAATTATTATTTCATCATGACGATGCATTCATTTTGTGATGC